CTTGCCTAGGCTACAGACACTTTGTTTCTTTTGGATATCTTGAGACTCACATTTGTCTGACCTCACTGCCCTCCTCCTAAATCACAGTTTGCGGTTGTGTCAGATTGCAAAACCATTTTCTTTATCATAAAACAATTTCTGAATCTTTTATGAAAAGTGAGTCGGCTAAGAGCAGCTGTGTATTGACAATGTTTTTTTTTTATTGCTGGTGAGGACTTAAATATACCCTCCTACTCAGTGTAAATATTTGCTGTGTAGCAGCTGCTAGCGTCCGTAATGACCTCTCTAGAAGAACATTGCACTTGACAGCTTCCTGGCTATGCTGCACCTCCAAAGATGGCAGATTGTCTTTATCAGTTGATCCTCTGAGAAAGAAAAGAGATGAATGTATTTTTATTCTAAAGTTATGACGTGAACACACTTATTGTATACACAAACCAAAATGATTGCGGTGATAAAGTATGATTAAAGAAATACGACATGGGAACTGTGGCCAAGACAAGGGGGAAGCTCAAAGTGCCAAAAAAGTTCACTGACACTTTAAAGCAAGTTGAAACGTTTACATGTGTTTGTGAACAACACAGTGTCACAGCAGTGAGGAAGAAGTTGTAATGAATAAATTGAATCTTGGACATGGACACACGTTTTTCTTTCTCCATGTCAGTCAGTATTTATTTTTTATTTTTTTAATTTTAAGTTCATATACGGACATTTTTTTCATCATCTTGTGATTGCACCAAGCGGTAAACCAGGTGCTGAAAAAATGAAGTCGATGCGGTGAAGTCACATACACGCTAATAATTAGGGGGCAGGCTGAGTTGACTGAGAGGTGGGCATGTTGTAGGCCTCGGGGAGGCTCACTGCCAATATCCAAATACCACCACAGTCTGTCAGCGCACTGTCTAGTCAATGATCATATTTCCACATGGACCACACTGAGGTCCGCCTCCGGAGCGTGCCAGCAGCACCACTCCGCTCTGCCTCATTTTAAATATGAGCAAGAACGCACCATGCACTGACTATTTATGAAAAAAACATTTAGGGCTCACCTCAGCTCAACCGCTTTGCCTGTTACAATGTTGAAGAAGTTAGGATAAGTTAACATTTCCAACATGACAGCCGCCATCGCTGGGCTTCAGAAACCAAAGGGTAAACTGATGTCAAACATTTTGTCATACTGTAGCATCAAATAAATATTTAAATCCTAACTTCCAAAAAAAATTAAACTCTGGCTTTTATCAGCATGATAAGAACAAACTATGATGACAGAAACCATGTTAGAGAAAAATGTATTTGACATGTATTTTGATTTTAAAGTTTGACCCATGTCCCATCTGTCAACATGGAGGAGGCGGAGCTTATGACCAAGACTGCTGCCAGTCAGTGGAGGGAACTCTAAATTTTTTGGCTTCACTTTGGTAGAGCTGTCATCTCCTCCAATTTTATGCAGTAAAAGCTCACAGCACTTTCGGATAAAGCTGAAAAAATTATATTTAAACGATTATATTGTACTTTTACATCTCTATTTCCTGTCTTCAGAAATTTAAAATCTGTGTTAAGTTTGGTAGAATTAATAATATAAATTATAAGTTCTGAAGTAAATCACAAACTGCCCACACCAAGTTTCCTGTTTTAAAAGGTGATTATCCTTTAAAAAAAATAAACATGTCCATCATCAGATATCAGTTCATGTTTGTGTGTGCTTGTATGTATCGTTCTGTGCCATGTTACGTGTTGAGCCGCAGTGTTCTGCCAACAAAAAACTACCCGAGATACTGGAGAGTTTACCAGAACCTCAGTAGCTGGGATATCATGTGTCCCCTTCTGACCCAACCGAGGACGTCTGCTGATCCGAGTACTTAAGCCGGCAAAGATCCCCCTCCCTGAAGCCAGACATTCTGCAATCTGTCCCCCTCACCCTGCTGGACAGCCAGCTGTGTCTGTCTCATTTCTCATCATTAAACTCAACCACTCTGCCTTCTTCACCTTTTATTATAAATGCTGAAATTCTCTCCACTTTTTCCCTTATTCCCTTCCAGGTGTGCTCAATCTTTTGAGCCCTCCCCCCCCTCCACACACGCACACAGACACACAGACACACACACACACACACACACACACACACACACACACACACACAAGCACACCCCAACACACACACTCACAGGCATTCCTATATGGTGAGCTCAGCCAAACACACACTCTTACACACTCCCAGCCATTTCTTCACAGCATGCTTTCTCACAGCAAGAGCAACATTTTGTTCTTTATGATGATGTTTGTGTGTGTGTGTGTGTGTGTGTGCGTGTGCGTGCGTGCGTGCGTGCGTGTGTCTAAGAGTCAGGAAGAGTTACAGTATTGGTTTTTAGGGTGTCTGCCTTGCTAGGACTTTTACTGCCAGAAAGTTGAGTTTTTGTGATAATTAAATGTTTTATTCTCTTACCTGTGGTGTTATCAGGTGACGTAGTGCAGTGCAACTTTTTCCACAGTTTTTTCCTGCTAGCCCTCTCGTGAATTTTCAGCTTGAAGTAGGGATGAGATGGTGTGAAAACCCAGCAGGAAATATTCAGGGTAATTCAATGTGTGTGTGTGTGTGTGTGTGTGGGGTGGGGTGAGGGGTGGGTGGGGGGTGAAGTTGCACGTGACCTGAGCAAGCAGGAGAGAGGAGAGGTGTGTGTGCCCTGACAGGCAGAGAGCAGTGTGTGTGTGTGTGTGTGTGTGTGTGTGTGTGTCAGTGAAGCAGAGCAACAGAGAGCACGAGCTGATTATCAGTTATGATAAACTGACGTCAAATTTGACATCAATTTTTATTCATACATTTTATTCTTATTTTTCATTAATACACAGATGTTTCAGATAATGTATGATCAGGAAAGTTTTCCTCAAAGACGTAAAAAAACGTCATCACAATGTATTGGCCAAAATGAACCCTGTGTTTTTCTATTTGCTGACGACATCTATCAATTTGTTTTTCTGGTTTCTGACAGCAGAGACAAACAGTCCAGATTTCCCAATTCTGCTCCCAAAAACGTTTGACAATACGTAAACACAAAACTGAAGCTTCAGATGCATCAGTGTTGATATAATGATCTCAGTTTAATTCCAGTGTGACAGCCAAGTTTCAGCTGTTCAAAGAAACTGGTTTCCAAAGAGCCAAAGATTTCCAACATGTCTGCCTCAGGGAGCTTTACTTCTCCTGAAAGCCTCGCTGTTTTCAAAGGCTTTTAAACTTCTACTCTGGGACATTGGTGCGATTGTGACCTTGAGAAAACATGCAAAGCTATCAGCTCTGCAATATTGACCTGAGTAGTGTTGTTCTTTGCCACTATCAACACACAATGCTCCATCTATCCGTCTAACACGGCCACATGGAAGGTGACAGCTTGACCTACATCCTATGTGGGTCAGCATCACCATGCAGTGAAGAGTTTGAGATAAAAGCATCTGCTCTGGATGAGGACAAGCTGTTTCCATACACATGATTGTGTTTGGAAAAAGGAAAGAGCCACAAGAGACAGGACCAAACATACTGATGGTTTGACATTTAAACTTGATCTGAACTATTGTAGGAGTCGTTGCTGCCAGGTCAAGGGGACAGGTTTTGTGTGTTGGTGAGCATGACTGAAACAGAGTCTTATCACAGGAGAGCAGAACACCACAGAGTTTGTTTTGTTTATCCACTTTAAATGGCCTGCACACATTGAGAGCTTAGAGTCGTGTCATGCCTCGCTGATAGGTTTTTGTTTTAAAAAAGCCACATGTTGGAGAAAACCTGAAAGTTTGTAAATGGTCCGACAGTGACTCAATCAGCACATCTGGTTTTCTTTTTTTAATTATTATTGTTCAAACCAGAAGAACACAGTGGCCTGACTCTTTGTGATCCAAACACAAAATAAAGAGTCAAGACAGAATTCACATGGGAACAGGCACATTCCAGCAAAAAGAAAGAAATCAATAAAAAGAATCAAAGTAACATGTTACATGTTACCAAAAGATTTGCCATTGGGTCATTATAGAGAAGCGTAGCGTAGCATAGCTTATCGTTTCTTTTCATGCTGTCTTGTATAATATAGTTTAATGTCGTATCATTTTATGTTGTGTCATGTCGTCTTCTATCTTATCCGATTGTTTCATATTGTGTCGCATTGTTTCATGTTGTGTTGCGTTGTGTCATATATTAAAATACTCAAAGAGCTTTGATTTTGAGATTTTGAGATTTTGAGTGACAAACACTCCGTCTGACCCTGGACTATTTCAGCCTGAAAAAAAAAAAAAATAATAATAAAAATAACTGAAAAACTCATTATTTATTAAAACTGCAATATAATAATAATGAATAATATGTCCATGATAACAAAGTGCAATATTGAAACAAACAGTGCAATAATCTTGAAAATGTGAGTATATATTCCATCTGACTCTTATTCCTGTAAATATTTCTTCTACCTATTATTGATATCTTACTTACATTCCTATTCTATTTTATTAATATTTTTATTACTATATTTCTACTGCTATATTGTATATTCTGGAGCAACTGTAATGATCGAATTTCCCTCTGGGATTAATAAAGTATTTCTGATTCTGATTCTGATTCAGAAGTTCCATTAATCTGATACAAAAGTATAACATCCAATTAATAAACTTACCAAAGTCACCAAACTCAGACTCTTTGACTCGGTCAACATTTGCTTCCAGTCCCACCTGATTGCAATCACCTGGAAACTTGGCTTTATGCAGCAAAAGCCAGTGTTCAGTTTCAGAATCCCAACATTTAAAAAGGTCTCATGGAAAATGGAATAAAAACTAGAAAACACAAAAAAATATGCCTTCACTACAAAGATTCAATTTCTGGCCCCACCCAACATACATTTCTGATTTTTTTCTCTTAAAAATACTCCACCAGAGGCCCTCCTTCTGGTCACCAATAAAGGTCTAATATGACATAATGCTGCTTTAATGGTTGTTAAAGGTTACAGTGTGGATTCTGTGTGTTTCAGAGTATTGAGCGAGAGGAGCCAATAGAGGTGGACCCCGCCCCAACACATGCTGCACTGGAGAACGGACATGCTGTCACCACAGGTAACAAGTTTTCCACAATTTATGTCGATGTTTGCGATCAAAGTAACTCTGAAAAAGAGAAGATTTGATCACTTATCTTAAACAGAAAGATCGGCTTATTAGCAGTCGTTTGTCCAGAGGGGTGGTCACCTCTTTTTATATTATGTCATTTGATCTGTTGTGTAAATAACATTTTATTTTCAATCTTTTCTAGCAGAACATACAGCATCGGTACTCGGAAAGATCTCTCCACCCAGTGACTTCCCACATGAGCACACAGCCTCCGTCGCCATGCGGATGCCTCACCTCCCCATCACCGCGACAACTAAAACAGCAGAAATGAAATCCCCAAGCTCTCCCAGCAGCCCTGTTGGCTCTCTGTCCTCTCCGGTCTCCGAGTCCTCACCTAACGGCAACCAGAACCAGCCAATAGAGGAGTCTCCACTTCAACCAGGTTGCTGATTTGATAGTCTCAATTCTACGTCGGCTTGTAAAAGATTTTCTTAAGACTGTTATTTCTGTCAGTATCATCACCCGAAAGTCTGTATATCTTAATTTATAATTCCCTTGTGTCTCTGTTGTTTTCAGTTTCCTCCACATGGACACCTTCACCTGTCAGAGCTACAGGGTCTCCCCGCCTTCAAGGTGAGCCACGCTTTCAGACCATTCACTGTGACTAAGAATAGACCTCACCTCTCAGTTAACCCAAACCCGCAATTATTTTAGTGACCTGCAGGGTGCAACTCCACTGGCTGCTAAAAAGACATTTTACACATATATACAGCAGAAATCAAGTATAGTTATCCTGTGTACATATCTCTCTGAGTCATGACTGTCTACAATGAGTAACGCCATCATGTTGACATGGACAGGACGGCCTTGTGTATAAAGCTGTTTTAGTGAAGGACTAGAGAGAAGAAGAATAACATACTCACTGCTTATGGGTGTCACGTATATGTCTTTAGATCATGGATATTCTGTGTCAATTTATCTGCAATATGAAGCTACGAGTTAACCAAAGTGCGCTAACATTAGCATGCTAACACAACAACGCAGACCACAGGAAATTGCAGCTCGAGCAAAGGACAATTATGTCTGCCACTTGTGCTTAATGGTGCTTAAATATATTGGTTCTAATTGATAACTGCTTCATGAGAAGGCGAGTGGAGAGGGGTTGGAGGTGTGTCTCTGGAGGAGAGCGGAAGCTTCAAAATAGCGGAGGTCGCTAACAGCAGTTTATTTTGGTTTAATGCTGGTGCTTCAAGGGCGACATCTACTGGATGAAAAAGTTGCATATTCTTCAAGAAGTTTGATTAAATAGAGGCAGATGAGAAAATAAATGTTTGGACATTTTCTTACATAGTTTATTTTCCTAACGGCTACTTTCAGGTCTTCTTCAGTAGAGCATTATGTTAATTCTGTTAATTACGGTTCTACTTACAGTAAAATAGAAAATCAAGCAGGGTATTATTAAAGGCGTGGTGACCCATGACCCTTGTCACACCAGTGACCTGGCTCCAAAAATGCCAAACTGTGAAAGTGTAGTCTACAAAGCAATGGATAACTATACAATAGCTATGCTTGATTTTTCATTAGGCTTTACTCCAGACTCATGTTTGACGTTATAGAAGAATAGAAATGTTTATCTGTTTCTGTTTGTCTTTTGCAGAGAAGGTAAACTCAGCCCCAGCTAAGTCTGTGACGTACTCAGGACTGATGCAGCACGACAGGTGAGCGACATTTGACTCATGAAGGACATTTTTTAAAGATTGTCAGAAAATATTCCTCTTACTCTGAACTTCCATGTCCTCCAGAGACGGCGATGAAAGCGGTAACAGATCCTTCGGGCAGGTAGGTGAGAGGAGGCGGGAGCTGGTGAGGTCACAGACTCTACCTCGAAACATCGGGGCCCAGGCTCGTCGTTCCATCTTTGAGAGGCTGGAAACTGAAGCCAACAACAGGTAAATACAATGCGGTGTTTGTATCACAAGCTGCTCATATTTGTTTTTTACTTCCTTATGTAATCTTGACCTGTTTCTGCACCTGTACAGTCGAACAAAACCAGTGGACTCCAAACCCAAACTGAAGCGGTCTCAGAGTTTTGGGGTGTCCAGTGCCAGCAGCATCAAACAGATCCTCCTTGAATGGTGCCGCTCCAAAACCATCGGATACCAGGTACACACTGAATACAAGCTTTCAGAGACAACATCACAGACATACTTGTACACACAGTAACTGAGGTTTGAAAGCAGAACTTCTACTTGTAATGGAATATACTCACATTGTGGTAAGAGTACTTAAAAAAGAAAAAGGAGGTAGTTAAACGCACATCCCGTAGGTGCAGGGCGGTGCAAAAACAGCAAAACTGAGGAAGAAAATAGGCCCCCACACTTGCTCAAATGCCACAAAAAAGGTTTTAAGAGGTCTTCTTCATGTGATAAAAAAAAACACCTGAAGAAGACCTTTGGTCAAAACTTTCTGACCATTAAAGGTTTTAATGGTTGGTTTAATGAAATCTCAGTTGGTAGAGTCGTCGTCTCTACCGGAAGGTTGATGGTTCGATCCCCAGCTCCTGCAGCAACATGTCCGTTGGGTCCTTGGGCAAAATACTTAACCCCAAGTTGCTCCTGCTGCTTGGTCTGCAGCATGTGAACGTGTATGAATGTGTATGAATGGATTAGTTACTTCTGATGGACTCACTACATCATGTGAATGTGTAGGTGTGACATGCAGTGTAAAAGTGCTTTGAGTAGTCAGAAGACTAGAAAAGCTCTATATAAGCTCAAGTCCAAGCACAGATGAGCAAAAGATTAAACCTCAAACTGATTTTTTTTATACTCCTACATCTTTAAGGGAACCCTCAGCCTTCACAGGTATTATACCACAGAGCTAATTCCCTCAATAGACTACCATTAGCTCCAAGGCTGTTCCATTATTCACCATGCACCTTAATAACTTATCATTTAGTATTTGCCTACTTACACATAGCTCTGTATATATATATTTATTTCTCGTTTACTGCATATAGTTCTGTTTATATATATATATTTCTCGTTTACTGCACATAGTTCTGTTTACATCTGGTCACTACTGCACATAGTTATGGTTACATCTGTTTACATCTGTTAGTCCGATCACTGTGGCTGTATGACAGTGATTACTACAGTAGCAGCAGATTGACACATTTTTTTGGCATCTTGTTAAAAATTCTTTTGGATGTACACTACATTGCATATCCATGGGATCATTTTGACACTCATGTTTCATATCCCCCCTGACATTGTTGCTCTCTGTACAGAAGCAAACAGAGTGGGGAGGAGGAGCAGAGGAGGTGGTCCTGTAGGAGGCGTGATTGGGCCACTCAACTGTCATTGTAAAGAAAAACATCCAATCGGCCTCTTCCCCTGCTGTGTAGGCCTGTGACAAGCAATTACAGAAAAAAAAAAAATATATATATATAAAATCATATCGGCTTCAAAGTGCTTCACCCTCTGGTGAAATGCCCGGCGTGCCAGATGTTTTCAGAGGTTTGAGGTTGCAGGGTTAAGTTGGTTTACGTCACGGTTGAGATACATCAACAAATTTCTGGTACAGCAGTCTGTGCCAACTGCTCCATGTGGCTCTGGTTACAGTCAGGCTGGGTAAAGACAAGACTCTTATTAACTGGGAGCAAACACACACACACACACACACACACACACACACACACACACACACACACACACACACACACAAGAAAGAGAAAGAGGGATGTGAAGTCAGTAACTTTACATGCTGCATTGTATTGGAAGCAGACTCCAGGCTTATAAAGGACATGATGATAAAAGCATGTAACAGAAAAACAGAGAAGTGCTTAATCCATCATAATTACAGACAGCGACTGAGAAGACATCTTTATGAAGCTGCCAGTCACTTTTACAACTCGTGTTCTTTCACACCCTGATGCTCACACTCCCCCACGTCATCACCGACTCTTCTTCTCTCTTTTTTTCTCTGCAGAACATCGACATCCATAACTTCTCGTCCAGCTGGAGCGACGGGATGGCTTTCTGCGCCTTGGTGCACTCCTTCTTCCCCACCGAGTTCGACTACACCTCTCTGTCCCCCGCCAACCGTAAACACAACTTTGAGCTGGCCTTTGGGACCGCAGAGTGAGTGATAGCAGCTGATAGCAGCGGCAGGTCGACACGATGTGATGTTAATTTGATCTGTCGTAAATAGGAAACTTCTTCTAAAAAGGTCAGCATGTCGATGAGAACCAGATCAAGGCGAGACATTTTCGTCCTGTGATTTATTTTCCAAACAAAGGAGGAGAAAAAATACCTGTTTTTTAATGAGTAATAATTGTAAAGATTTTCATTCAATTGGTATACCTTACATACTCTAGATTAGAAGACATTTAGAAAACCTCTCAGATCTAAAGACAATGAGTCACATCACAGAGGTTTTACAAAGACTTTTCAGGGTCACTAACTGGAGGACTACAACTAGATTCCTTTAGAGATTATTATCATGCACCTTGTGGAAATGTAAGTTCTGGAGATAGCAAGAAGTGTCCTCACTTTTGTACCATGAAAAGACGATGAAACTTGACCCTCCGAAGGAAGTAAAAACTGGTAACAAGGTTTTCAGAGGTAAACCTGCAGAAGGATCGTTACCATATTTCATTCTCAGCTGGGATTTCTCTCTCCCTTTTTTTCCTTCACCCCTCTATTGTGGAACAAATGAGAGGACACATTAAAGAGGCATTCTTGCTCTCTCCACAGCTCCAGCAGTTTCTCCTCCTCACAGTCCAGGACAACAGCATGTTCCTTCACCTCCCATCCATGTTAACTAGTGTGTGGGCAAACCGCTCCTATTGGTTGTTGACAGTGGTCACATCATTTAACATAATTTGAATAGACAAAACTAAAGACCTGCGATAATATTAAACATGATTGATTTTATCATGCCGCCAACACAAGGCCTTGTGCCTTTATTAGAGTAAATCAGAGCAAGTGGGGGATGACATGTGGGAGAGGAACCACAGGTTGGACTTGAACACCGGGCCGCAGCTTGGAGAACTCTGTACATGGCACCACCAAGCAGATAGATAGATAGGAACTTTATTAATCCCTTGGGAAGTTTCCCTCAGGAAATTCAGATTCTAGCAGCAGGTAACACCAAAGATTAGAACAGCACACAGACACAAAAAATAAAATAAGAAACACAAGTTATATACAATTAATATACTGTACACAGTAGCAGCAATAGACATGTCTAAATAAAATATACCGGTTAATAATAAAATAGCAGCAATAAAAAAAAAAGGTAGCAGCAGTTATGTTGTTTTGTATTTGTCCTTTGTGTTTATAAATAGATAATTAACAATAAATAATGAATAATGCAAGCTGTTAGGATTGTGTTGTGAGACATCTGCGCCCCATTTTACGGTGATTTTTTGGTTTGAATCCCAGCTTGAATTGATCTTTCATGCAGTTAAACTTTATGATGTCATGAGGAAACAGCTGCAGTTTCTGCTGAATCAGCTTTAAAGTATTTATTGGGCTGAACTGTAGCAACAATGTGAGTTTAACGTTGTTGTGACTATACTTAGCTTCATATTTTCTTTGTTCTTCTGTTGTATTCTACAATGTTAATAATTAACATGCAAGCACATAAAATAACACACACGTGTTATGAGGCCTCATTCCTGCCTATCCTGCCTCTTTTGTTTTCATCTTTGGTGCCTACAGCTTCAAAGCAAAAAGCTTATACTGCAGGCTGCACACTATAGATCAGGCATTAAACATGCCCACATCACAGTATTTAATGTATGTGAGGGCTTAAAGACTACATTAAAGAACGTGTTATTCTTTGAGCAGTGACAACGCTGCAGAATTAATCTGATTTAAAAGAGAGGCAGTACTCACTCTGCAGCTGAGACTTAGAGGGCATTTAATGTATGGGAATGATTACTTCCTGTTTGATGCTCTATTGCTACTCAAAACATGTTTGTTAGAATGTATGGGAGACATATGGAAACAACATCAGGTGCAGATTATGACTCTTAAGGCGTTCGATTAATATCTGGGGATGATATCAGGTGTTCTGTTGTGTTTCTCTTCGCATAGAAGACAATAAAAACACAGCAGGATTTTCTGCTGTATGACATTATTAACTGAATATAATGCAATCTGGAAAAAAAAAAAAAAATTTATTTAAAGTGGGGAAGTTGTGACTTTTTAAATGTCAGTTTGGGGATCTGGCTTGGTGGTTGGTTTATGCTCCATATGGAAGGATACTGTTGTCCTTGAGGTGGATGCCCTGGATTCAGTTCCAACCCGTGGCTCCTTTCCCGTGTCTCGTTTAACCCCTCGCTCTCTCCATGGTTTCTGACTTTTTCCACTCTCCTTTCTGAGAAGAAGCATAAAAGCCTAAAAAGAAATCTTAAAAAGCACTCTTGTCAATTTGTCAAGCGGAAGCCTTGAGTGTTTAAAAATGATGCCAATGCAGACGTGTAAAAATCTGCAGTACTTCAAGTGTCCACCAGAGGCTAGCTCAAAGGATGTCAAAATCCAAAAAATGAACATGTTTACATTCTGCTGTAAACCTTGTCTTTTTCTACAGCTCATGTCTTTATCAGAACACACTTTACAGGAGATTATTTTCTTATAACTCATCCATTTTGGTTATTTTAATGCTAAGAGTTACCCGCAATTCACACACACTCTGTGCGCGCCGCGGTCCGTCAGCGCCACGGTTTTGCTCCGTCAGACGTCTCGCGCCCATTCACACTGGATCTGTTTCTGGGACATCAGTGCACCCATGACACATCACAGGAGAACCACAAGATCCCGCAGGAATAAAGAGAAAAACATGCAAACAACATGTTGCTTTGTCTTTCTGAGGATGCATTGTTGTTAATTCAGTTCCTGTTTTGACGTAATGTTGATAAAGTGATGAAAAATACGATCGCGAGTCCGTATATTGTGTTTTATTTTGAAATTGACCGGATGCTTTGTGCGTTTCCTTGTCTGACTTCCTGTCCAGGCTGTGATATTCTGTCCAGCTTGACGCAAACCTCCAGCGTACTCCAGCGAAAATAGACTCGCTGCGTATTTGAAACGGAGCAGAGCGCAGTGCCGTTGGTGTCTCGTGCCGGAGACGGACCGCAGCGCGCGCTGTGTGAACACAATGATTGACTAGAGTGACAGCTAAGTACAACGTAGTGCGCGGTGCTGACGGACCGTAGTGCGCACGGAGTATGTGTGAATTGGGCTTTACACATACATTTACATATTCCAGTAGCATGTCTGAGTCGACTGACAGGTGGGTGTGATGTGGCTGTTTCTCAGGAGGCTTAAGCCCTGCCTCAGCTTCACCTCTTTGTCTGAGATTTGTCTCTAGATTGATCTATGTGAGGTACATTCCGTATGTTCAATATGGCGAACACCATCGTTCAGCTTCAAAACATCTCTTCAGAAACCGATGGTGACATCACTGAGACTATGTCCATTTCAAGAAGCGCAAAAACATTTTGTGAAACTCTAAGAAACATATTGTGAAAAACAATAAGAACATATTTGTCAGTATTTAATCAGCAATATATAAAATGCAGTTACAGAATGTTTTCGCAGATTTTTTAATTACTGAACATATTTTTATTTGCATGCCAACAATAATATATAAAGTATCATACTTCTTTGGTCGGATTGATGACACTTTAATCTGATTCAGCAGCACATTTTGATCCACCTCTACATGTGTGTGTCTGCAGGGTGAAGGCAGGCTGCGACCGGCTGATCGAGGTGGACGACATGATGATCATGGGCCGTAAACCTGACCCCATGTGTGTCTTCACCTACGTCCAGTCGCTCTACAACCACTTGCGCAAATTCGAGTGAAGAATGAAATCTGGATGATCAGCACAGTTTATTCATTGTTTCTGTTCTAAACTCTGAGCTGATTGGGGATACTGAGCAGAGGGAGCACTTCGAAAAGACTGCACTGCCCCCTCTTGGTGGATTTATAAACATACCCCCCCCCCCCACATGCTACATGAGGAACGCTCACAGCTTACCTCACAGGTACACGGTGGACGATGACTCTTGGATAGAAAACTGTGTGTCCTGTGATGTAATGAAGAAGATAAATTACAAAAAAAATATGATCAGGGTTGGTTTGTTTTTTTATATGTGTGTGTGTGTGTGCGTGTGTGTAGTCGTGACGTTTTGGATGCAACTATCCCTGTGATGTTTAAGTGTCCTTATTAACCTTTAAAATTGCACCAATAGAGAGGATGTGTTTTACAAACCTCACTGAATAACTGAACTGTAGGAGCACACTGCGGGCTGGAATACTGACAAATAATAATCATGATGTGTTGGTAACATGGAGCTCATTGTCCACTGATATATTTACGTCCACATGCTGTGATGTTGTGTTATTGAAATGAGATGAGGGAAATAAAATCAATAAATTGAACTGTTTTACACATTTGTGTACAGTGTGTATGTGTCACATCATAGTCTAATTTATAAATGTATACTTCTATTTTCCTTTTTTTATGTCGAAGTCTTGGCCATAACTATTTTGATCTCTGCTGCTGGATTTTTTTAACAAACACTTTCAGGTTTGATCTATTTTGTACAGAAGCCTGAAGTAGACATACACACACACACATTTTAATGTACTTCGGTTTCCCGTAGTAACAAGTACAGATAAGTCATTTTCATGAGATCTCAGCTCATTTATTTTCACTATCTCAGGATAACAATGCTGGTTTTCCTGTGATAAAGAGTGGATTCTTTGAGATCTCGCCAAAAAACCCCAACTGTATTATCACAGGAAAATGGTGCAAGACAGATGTTTGTCCTTTTAGGGCTTCCGTAAACGTAGTATTGTACAGCTTAAAAATAATGTCAGAGAATTTTGGCAACATATTGGGTTTTTTTTATTAGGAAATGATATTTTGTCAAACTTTTATTAGCTGGAGTCACTGCTTTCTATCTATGTTTATCCTTTATGAATTTCCCGCTGCAGAAATGGCTGGGCCCTGGGAATGCCCAGTGAATGGGTCATCTAAGGATATGATTTAAATCAATGTACGCACATTCAATCAGTTGTGTTAGCACTAGCCTCCCGCCTAATAATAGCTCCCTCTGGGCTGGTTTACATCTGCAACATTACAAAAAAAAAGGTTCATATCATTTTAAGAAGAGGGGGTTGACAATTTAGAAACAGGGTACATTTTACTGAATCAACAATAAAGAAAATGTGTGTATAGCTTTAAGAGGTAGTGGTGAATATTTAGGTGTAAATATGGTCATTGTTGCTTAAAATCAGGATGGACCATGTTTTTGCTAACCTCCATGAGCCCTCCCCATGCGACTGGGCCCAAGAAAGCTTTCCCCTTCATCTCCCCTTATGGGTGGCATTGTACACAGGTGAGTGTGAGCAGGGGAGACTGGACCGTTGAAAAGTTGTTCAACTTTGAAAATGTTTCTTGCATGCATTTTGGAAACGTTTGAAGGAAAACTATGTTTTTGTAAGTGACCATACCTTCCTCCTGCTCACTCTTAAATATCTGTTATAAATGCATACAGAGTTTATTTAGCTCTAAAAAACCTCTTTGGCATCTTTGATAAGTAATTGTAACATTTTCAATTCAACTGTTTCTGCCTCCATGTTGCTCAGTTTTTGTTTGGTACTTTATTTCCTCAGCGAACTGGGAACCAGTATATATAGGACCCTGATGGCTTCATCAATGAGTACCACTTTGTGGACGTTAAGACTGCTGATAAAGCAGAGGTTGCAGAATGGCACAGACTCTGCACTGCATGTGAAGAGAATTATAATGACTTGATGCACAGACGCTGGCTCAACACACCAGGTGAGTTGAGAGACAAAATGTTGAGCTGTGGTGTTTGAACCTTTCCTGTTCCTTCCAAGTATTTTAAGTGTTTGTTGGAGTCTTATAACATTGACATTTGTTTCAAAAATTCGACCTTAAGCTATGAATATTTTTGCTGTGAATCTCAGTAACCATCAGATGGGAAGGCGATAGATGGACGGTAGTGGCTTATAGGTATGAAATTGAGGGCGCTGAGCAGAGCCGTCAGTACTCAAAGAGAGACTCCGTTCCTCAATCTCGACCCCCAGCTGCTGCTAAGAGGGTCCCTGTGCTGCCTCCAATATGTCCGTATAAAAGAAGGCGAATTTACCCTTTAAAGCTTGATGAAGTAACAGGTAAGTTCTTCTACTCACATAGTGAATAACTGAAGAACAAGCTTTAATTCATACATTTCACAGGATCATTTCAGTGTATTGTATGTTGATTAGGAAGGGAGAACAGTATTTTGACATTTTGCATCTTGTTGTTTAAAAGGTGAGAAAGCAGAGGATGACTACAGTCTCTAGTCTGCTCGACAAAACTCCCTCCCTCGCTCTGGACTCCATGTTTCCACCAAGAGGGCCCCTGTGCTGTCACCACTGACCCCAAGGCCTCCAACAGGTTGCCAGGCAAATAGAGCTCGAGCAGGGAGGTTCCTGTGCCCTGTTACATCTTTCGACGGTAAGATCATATATCCCTAATGACGGAAACACCTTTTCCACAGGATCATTTCAGTGTATTGTATGTTGCTCAGCCAGAGAGGTTACTGCGCCCTTTAAAACATCTCAAAGGATCAGGTATGTTCTTCTGAACGCATCCTGAACGATGTAGATCCATATTTTTCCATTGGGACCTTTTAGGTTTTATTGTATGTACTTACACAATGTAACACAGTGTTTTGACTTTTGTATTTTATGGATTACCAGGCCAGAATACTGAGAGCATCTGCAGCCTCCAGATGTACAATAATAAAAGGATTGAGCAAATGGAGTACTCTCAACACAACTCCGTCCCTCAATCTCGGCTCCCAGTTGCTGCAAAGATGTCACCTGTGCTGCCTCCTCTGACCCCAATCCCTCCAAAAGAGCCTCAAACAAAACAAAGAGGAGCTCAATCAGGGAGGTTCCTGCCCGCTGTCAAGGGAACAGGTAAGGTCTTCAATAAACATTTATATGAGGATAAAACAAGTTAATGGGTTTAATTAGCTTATTTAAATGTTTAAGTTAAGTTGTTTGAGATGAAGGACTGAAAAAAAGTATTTTTTGATCTACCAGAAAAGAAAACATGGGGTGACCGCAGCCCCCAGACGGGAAAGAACACAAAGGCTGTGATGCCGCCTTTAACTCTGGCTGCAGAGAGTCTGAACCTCTGCTTCCAGCTGATCTCATCTGATGACTGGTAAGACACTGAAAGAGCATCACATGTACCACTTAGGGGATTTTATTATAAAGCACATTTCATTGCAGCTTAGCTTAATGTGCTTTACATTGAGGTTAAAAATATAGAAATACAGAAATGAACAATTGTTTAAATAACAAAGCATGAGCACAACCTTCATCAGACACACGTAACACGGCAGCTAAACACCAAAAAGCTTAAAGAAATAATAAAAACCAGCTTCACACACCAACCACAGAAAGGATCACATTTACACACACAGAGTAATTATTCATACACTTTGGAAGGTTTTGAGTTGTTCCCTTTTTTTACCTTTTCCATTTGTCATTGATTGATAAGTATCCAGTCAGCTTCCTTGTATCATATTTTAAGAAGCTGTTTTAACTGCAGGTTTGAGATTTTTTTTTATCAGTGTGGTTAAGTTCATTTATTTAATTCGAACATGCAGGATGAAGAAAATTGACGGCTTGAAAAGAGTTCAAGATCTTGCACAGAACCACTTGGAGGTCCTCAAAACCAAACTCCATGATGTGTGCCTGGTTCTCATAATGGAGGTATTTTACACGCGGCCCCCCTTTGTGTTTCATGTAAATCACTACATCCTACATGTATCTATGAGTCTACTGTACAGTATGGACTGATGATGTTTACCTTTCAGGTGAAAAACCTTCGCTCCGCTGTCGCCACTGAGGCTATGTGCACCTTAGCCGACATGTATGTTCGACTCCAGAAGGCCATGGACCCAGAGGTTGAGGCTACAGGTCAGGCCCTGCTGCTCAGACTGGCACAAACCACCAGTGCCTTTATTCATGAGTAGGCCAATCTTGCACTACAAGCCATGGTGGAAAACTGTAGCCATGCTCGGGTCCTGAACGCCCTGTTGAACAAAGGGCTCAGGTAAGAGGAGAAAAATCAATTGTATAGATTTTATCAGCAGGAGCATAAAAACTGAATACAAAAGTCCTTAGTCACATTTGATTGGTTTGGTTGTCTAAATGTTGATTCATTTTGTCCCTCCATAGCCACGGTTGTGTTGCTGTGCGATGCAGCATGGCTCAACACCTGCACCAGCTGACTGACAGCATGGGAGCAGCACAAATCCTCACAACCGGAAAAGGCATCAAGGAGAGCATCCTCACAGCTGTCTCTAAGATCGCTATGGATGCTGCATTGGAAGTTAGGTTGGTTATCAAGTTCTTTGAATTGACTGAACATTGTACAATTTAAATTTTTGAACATTCTTCTAAATGATACAAATCAATCTTTCACAGGCAACATGGACAAACCATCCTACTTGAACTGGCCTGCCAACAGGAATTTTAACTCCTGTGGAAGAAAATTGTTCCTGGTGAAGAACGCTTCTACCTGGACAAGAAATGAAAAATTGCAGAGCCATTGTTTGTGTCAATAAATGTTTGATGAGCAAATTAACTGTTGTTTTAAAAAATGTTTTTGGAGTTGAAATAGCCTCAAACACTGAGAGTAAAGACACTTCCTGTTGTGGTGCTAGCTGAAAAGGTCAAGTCTCCCCAGTCAATAATATTATCACCATTTGACCCTTTACTACTGTTGATTCATCTATTTTATTCTTTCTTTAAAAAGTATTTCATAAACATCTTCTGCCTAGTTTTAGTTTTCTCTGTGTTTCTCTATTGGTGTTCATTTCCATTCTTATGCTCTTTGTGAAGCCCTTTGGGCTGCATGCTTCAATGTATGAAAACTATTCAAATGAAGCTGAGCTTGAGTTTTTCCTTTGTTATAATAAATAGCCAACATATCTTTAAATCTGAAACTTTCATGCAGTACAATGCATGACAAGCCTGACAGAAGTAGGCAGATGTGGCATGCCTTGTTTAATGAAGAAGAAAATCATATAAAAGCATAAAGTTAAGACACTGCTGTAGTTTAATATCTGCCAAATAAAGAAGTATAATTCAGCAAAGAGAATCAATTTAACTTTAAACAAATACAGTTCAACCATGGTGATTCTGTAGAAGTTAAAATCATACTGATGTATTCAAGCATTTTATTTTGAAGGCAATAACTGACCTGCTGGGAAACAGATGAAATCCTAAAATGATCCAAAGTTTAAAAATCAAGCAGAGACCAGAATAAAACAAAAAGGTTGATTCAGCTGCTCAAAGGATCCAGCAAACAATAGTAGAGTTTAAAGTAAAGACAGTGAGGCCAAAAGAGTGAGGAAATGTTTTTGATAAGAGATTCATGAAGGTTAACTGATTGGTCCATCTCATGGATACTGCAGGATTACAGCTTTCATGAAACATGGTCTCAAGATATCTAAAGAAACTGTTTTTACATCCAATGAAGAGATTTTTTTAAATTGTTCTAAAACACATTAAAGGCACGGAAACATAACAGTTTATACTTGATGTAAGTCAGTAGGAAAAACTGCATCATGTCCTGATGGGACATGGATCTGAGGAAAGAATCAGAACCTGCTTTATAAGCCAAGTATGTGGACACATAAAAAAATTAACCTGGTTTTAAATTAATTTGAACGTGAAGATGAACAAATTGACAAACAACACTTCAAACAAGAACAAGTGAGACAAGGGTAGCCCAAACATTTACACACAAACACTAAACACTATGAAGTACTGCTACAAATATATATGAATCAATAAAACAACAACAAGAACAACACGTGTATGAAAAAGACAAAAGTGCAATGAAGAGTGCAAAGGTGCTAAAGATAGGCTACATATTGTTATGAATCGGGGTTTACACATCAGCAGTGGGACATCATTCACTAAAACTTACAGAGATATGAACATTTTTTGTTTCAGTCTGTTACTTTCTGACAAGTAATTTGGCACTTTGTTAAAAGATGAGCATGGACTGTTGGAAGCAAGCTACCATGTTAACTTTGGCTTCTTAGTATCCATAGTAATTAAACAACACTTCAGATTATATTTCAATAATGTGAGAAGTAAGTGACAGAAGAAAGAAGACAGAATTGGATTTAAAACGTCAGAACCTGTCCTTATACAAGTGAAAAGGCTAAGGCAAGAATTTCAACAGATAAACATCTTTCTTCACCATAAAGAATATATTTAGAATAGTTTTCTGTGCTGGAGTCACTGATTTCTATCAATCCCTATCCCTTGTGTATTTTTTGATTAAGCAGCAGCTTCTGATTCATTATGACCTTTTAGTCTCAACAGGTATTTTTACTACATGTGACCTTTCCAGTTGTGTTTACATTAAACATTGTTATTATCTGCATTTCCTGTGCATACTGTTGAATGCTGTGTGTTTGTTGTTTTGTGTTTTCCTGTATTATTTACTCTGTCTCTCTCTCTCCCCCTCTCCCTCCCTTCCTCTCCTGTGCTCTCCAGATGCTGCTCACCTGTTGCAGGTTGACAATCAGCAATCTTCTCCCTTAATGTTGTCAAAGCAAAACAAAGGAGCTAATAATTGATTTCAGGAAATCTAAACCTGTCGTTTCCCCTGTTTGTATGAAAACAATGCGATTAAAAGGGTTTACTGCGGGCATCCAGCAGATCTCTTACTCCCTCTTGAACATCACAGAGGTCGTCAGAAATGCTCAACAGCGACTATTTTTCTAAGGGAAGTAAAAACCACTTCAAATATCATTGGATCACCGCTGCCACAGGTAGGGGACATTTGCAACACCTGCTGCACGAACAAGGCATTACACCTGATCTGACAGGACTCTGCCCACCTGCACACACATCTGTTCATCGACCTTCTTACAACAAAATGTTTACAGTGCGTCAGAGACCCAACCAACCGCCTGGAGGACACTTTTTATCCTTATCTTCTATCCCTACAGGCGATCAGACTACTGAACAGAAGCTCTTAGAGTTTGTCTGTCTCTTTGTTTTATTAATGGTAGGCTATAGTGTTTGTATGTAGAATGTTTTTTTAAGTAGCCTATACTGTATTTTATTCTTATGACACCTTTTAATTTAAGGTTTATTACTTTTGGTTTCGAGGGATGAGAAGGTGTCTAAACAAAATGCATTTCATTGCATTGACTGTATTCTGTATTTTTTAGTGTACTTGAAAAATTGACTTGAATTTCAATTGATTAGAGTCGTGTATTTTATCGGTGTCATTACACACAGCATCATGAAAATGTGCATATTGAGTCTGTGGTTTATTTGAGAAATGTAGTGGAATAATGTTTGGCGAGTGTGACAGACAATAAAGCACATCTTTGATATTTCCTAATATTGTTCTAATAGACCTTCGTATTACTAAAAGATACGTTTACTTTGATTATTTTGTCGGTTTAACATCAATGAATATTTTTTTATATTTTTTAAGCCTTCTTCTTATAGCCATAAAAATTGGGCGTATTTTAATAAAATTGTATTTTTTGTAGCTCAAGGTACGTTTCAGGAATCCAATAGGCCTAAAGCATTTACTTTAACTTAATAGACTAAGTATCCTATCTGTAGAATCGATGCTATCCCACTTAACGTTTTTTATATTTCATATTAAAAAATACGTTTGTGTAAAGCACATTTTAAGAAACCAAAGTTTAGGCTACGAAGAAATCTCCTGAAAAAAGCAGAATGATAAAAGAAAACAAATGATAGAAATGAAAAATGTGGAAGAGATTTCGGAACAAAACCCGATGGATTAATAATAAGGGATTATATGAGAGGTAAACAAAATACAAAGATAAACAAAGTGTTAAAATAGTCAAATAAAAAAGTTTTACCGAACATGATGACCTTTTCTCACATTGCTTTAAAAACAACCGATCAGTTCAAGAAAGCATCATGAAGCACCAATAACTGAGACCAGATCCAGAGGTGAAAACACCTGGATTTGGAGGGTGTTGGTGTGTGTGTGTGTGTGTGTGTGTGTGTGTGTGTGTGTGTGGGAGGTCTCCTCTGATCTGGGTATATATAAGGGGTCACTCCCTCTCAGCACAGTGTGTGTCACACTGTGTGTAGGAGAGTGTGTGTAGTTATGACTCTCTTCATGGACTCGGACTTCTCTTTACTCAAACCAAACCCTCAGAGAGACATGATGGACTATAAGGAGATATTTGGAGAGCAGGATCAATGTAAAGGTGAGTTTAATGTCTTTAATATTTATGATCTTTATTTCTTGGTGTTGATACTTACTATTAAGTTTCCTGAAAAAAATACAAAATGTATCATTCAAGTAAAAAGTCGATTCAACTCGTTTTCATGAAATAATTGAAACTTCATTCACAATAATGAGAGCCGAAATCAGGAAGGCATAAAATAAAATAAAATGTAGCTTAACACTTTAACCTGTTTGCAGGTATTACAAATATGTTAAACCTGTAAATGTTGCTAACAGTATGGGGAATATAGCCTACAACATGAAATATGCCAATAACTTAATTTGTAAAGCATCCTACAGTTAATAAAATGCTTTCTATAACTGCAAAGGTGATCAAATGAAATTAAACAAAACATGTGAACTAGACCGATCTAATCATAGTCCTTTATTATGATAAAAAATGTAAATTTGAATGAAAATATGTTCATCGATATTTTTTCTTTCTGTTTAATTTTACTGGATTTATGTTAATGTCAATGAGCCTCAAACAAGTGCGCAGAACTCCGCAACAATCCGGCCTGACCCTTAATTTAAACCCTTTATTTGCCTCCTTAAAAGACACGTTTTTCTCCTTTTCTCTCATGTTATAATTGATTTAATGATACTGTACTTTACTCTGCCTAGTTGTATTAGAATAGTTTAAATGTCCTCCGTCCTCCTCAGACCCCCGGGCTGATGGCGCGCTGTCCTCCCCGGAGCCGGAGCGAGCCGCCGGGCTGACGGAGGGCCAGAGGAAGAGGAAGAGGACCATCTTCAGCCGAGCCCAGCTGTCCGAGCTGGAGCAGGCCTTCGCTGTGACCCCTTACCCCGACATCACCCTGAGAGAGAGGCTGGCCGCACACACACACCTGCCCGAGAGCAAGATACAGGTAGGCTTTATTCAGTGAATGTCTGTGAATGTTTTGGAGTGAAACAATGACTAACAGGTCACGGAGGCAAGTAATCATTTCACCAATTAGAGGGGAAATAAGAAAAAAAGTAGACGTCAGTTTTGTGATAAAATGGTAATAGTAAAAAAGCTTGTTATATCGGAGCGTCTGTTTGATTTGATTTTCTGATCCAGCCGAGGAAATCATCGCTCTTACTTTAAGACACCCTTCAATAGGCTCAATTTGGATTCCAGTTTTCCTGTTTTAAAGGATGGATAATTTTAATTAATTATTGTAATAATCGATAATAAAATACAGAAACTTTAACTTCAGATCTTCAGACACATTTTAACCAAAAGCTGCCGCAAGAGAGAGAAATGATGGCTCTGTCTAAATTCCATTAATGCATTGCGTTGCCAACTTATTTGAACAACATAGACAGGAATTTAAAGCAATTTTTGTAATTAGAAAAACACAATTGCTCTATTGCTGTCTATAAATGTATATTCTAGTTGCCATGGTATTTAAACAGATATCGATACTTTTTGTTTTTACACGCGTCATTTTTACGTTTAAAATTCCGGAAATAACGTTTTTAAGTGCACGAGATTTCACAGTTAGTTATAGCTAGTGGCTATATAGTTATAATAATATCTCAGGGTTAGCTCTGGTGGAGGGGCCCACTGTGAGATCACCCCATTATGCAACCAAATGTCATTGTTGACATCCCAGTTAGTGCTCGCTGGGGTTTCAGAGAATTTACCAAAATTGTAGGATCTATTCAATATTTCATGTTTTTCTTCTTCTACAATTTAATCATGAAGCATCTGAAGGTGATTTCACACAAACACAAATCTACTGAAGAATTCCAGAAATGTTCATCTCATTCCGTTTTGTCTTTTGTTTGTGTCTTATGCTGGCCTTACACCAAACAATTTTTCATCTGAACTAAATCCTGAGAGTTGAACACTCTTGTGGTCTCATCTTTTGGTATAAGATGATCATAGATCTCAATCCGAGTTGTTTTAATGCAGTCTATTTATTCTAGCATTAAGATAAAATCAAACATGTTTAATATTATCGTAGGTCTTTAGTCTTGGCTTAAGCAGATTGTTTTGTTCAATGATGTGACCATTGTCAACAACCAATAGGCGTGGTCTCACCAGCATCAAACAGGAAGCTGCAAACTATTAAACATGTCTAAAGGAACATGCAGTTCTCCTGGACTTTGGAAAAGGAAGAGAATAATTGAGTTGTGGAGAGAACAAGAATGGCTCTTTGACTCTGTCCTCCCCCTTTGTACCATGATAGAGAGGAGATGGGGGATTGAAATTGTTGCAGCCATTAGAACTTACAGTGCTACAGCATACTCACAGGTTATGATCCTTCTGCAGGTTCACCTACTGAAACCTTGTTATGAGTTTTACTTCCATAGAGGGACGTTTGATCGTCAAAGGGCAGGACACGTCGAAATGTTATTCTTGCTCTCTCCACCAGTTTCTCCTCCTTTTTGTTTTTTGGCTCAAAAGTTGTCGTTGTAAATTTCCACAAGATGCATGATGGGAAATCATCTCAAAATGAATATGTATAAGGTTTTGCAGTGACTCTGTCCCAGTCTTTGTAAATTCTTAGTCTATGACTAAAAACTCTTTGAGTTGCCGACACATTGTCTTCACATGTGACAGGGTGTCAGACGTTAGCTGAGTTGTTTCAAAGTCTGTATTTTCTACAGCATGTATTACCAGTTCTACCTCCATGTAAAGCGTCCTTGGGTCCCTTGATCCATGTTATTCTTCTTACTATTATTATTATAATTAATTAGTTTTACAAGATCTAATAGGAAAGACTTGAATTAATTAATTAAAATGAGCGCATACCAAACAAAAAGACATTTGATATTAAGTGTTCTTAAAAAGACCCCGATGTCACAGCTCTATTGATTTTCCACAGGTTTGGTTCCAGAACAGAAGAGCCAGAAGCATCAAGACTGGGAGGTTCCCCAAGTCCTCCAAGTCGGTCCTGGCAGCTGGAGGTGTTGTGGATCCGTCTCCTGGGCCGGTCAGCTCCACTTTCCTCACCCCCACGGCCCTGGCAGACATTTTCAGACCTGAGCAGTCCCACACCTGTGAAGAAGTCCCACAGGTGTTCTCAGACTGGATCCAAATCTACAGCAACCCCATTTCATCACCTCCGCCCCCCGCCTCGTCATCTCTCCATCAGCAGCCCCCTGAGCCTCGTCTGTGGGAGGAGGACCACTACCACCACCTCCACCACCATCAGACCCTAGGACAAGCTGTTCCCGGTTTCCTCCCCCAGCCGGGCACCAGGCAGCCCCACCATGCCGCCTCGGCCCGATCCTCCTATCAGGCCTTCAGGAACTTCAAACCCCAGACTGTAGCAGCGCCAGGGGCTCATCAGGCCTTGTACAGAGGCGGACCTGGCAGCGGAGGTCACACGTCTGTAGACCAGGTGGTCCCGTCTCACCCTCAGCAGGTGTACTGGGAGGTGACTCAAGGACAAGGACACAGCCACCCACACCACCCACAGATGGGACCACAGACCTCCATGGGCTACATCTCAGACCTGATCTACAACGCCGCCATCGTCACCAACTTCCTGGAATTCTAATGAGTCCGGACTTGGAGCGATACGAGCACAAATGTTACTGTTAATAATGAAAACCAAACTTTTCCCTTTGCAACGACTTCTGTGTCCAAATGTGTCGTGTGTCTAGAGCTGACTCTTCCTGAGACCTCCAAGACTTGTTCTTGTAGATTTTTGTCATCTTGTGTTTTACTGCTGTATGATCCAGCATGGGCGTCATAGTGGGGGGGAAGGTGGGACTAACTTCCTCGGGCCCTCATTGGTCCTGAAATAAATCTGTAGTTTTGATTTGGATTTGTTTGTTTTTAAGTCTTCACTGTCAGAGTAAAGAGAAAACTGATGAATACATGAACTCTTTTTTTTTTTTTTTTAATTTATTTTTGGGCTTTTTGTGCCTTTAATGGAGAGATAGGACAGTGGATAGATTCAGAAATCAAGGAGAGAGAGAGGAGAGAATGACATCTGGGAAGGGAGCCACAGGTCGGATTCAAGCCTGGGCCTAACCACTGCGCCACCAGCGCCCCACTCTTTCTTAACCCAGAACGTAAAAATTTTTTAGATGCTTAAAAGCGATTCAAATGTGAAAATGATGCATTTATTACACAGTTTAATTAGTTTTAATTTTTTAATTTAAACTACTATAGAGTATTTTAGGGTTTTAAACAAAGGTAAAATTATTTAAAAAAAAAGACCCAAAACAGATTTTAAACTTCTCTTTGATTCTGGTAGAAATACGAAAATTTGATATATTTTTGATACCACTGCATCATAAATAAAGCCTTAGACATCCCAAACCCCAAAAATAATGTATTTTTTTAATTACCAACATTGGTAAGTTGCAACATTATGCTCTCTAAATAACATAAAAACTTTGGCCATGTTGGGATTTTTATGTAGACCATTGCAATATTCGATGGAGTCATTCTTCTCTTACACACCTTTTTAAAATAATAATAAAAATGCGATATATTGCGCTGGCCAAATTCTAATGCAGAAAATGAAAATCACCAAACTGTCAATTATTCATTAGTTGATTTAGGGAAACAATCATGTGTGAAGAGTGTGAAGGACAGAACTTAAAGGCATATATCAACTTCCTCTAATACGTTTAGTTTATTTTCTTATTTCATGTTTTTTTAATGAATAAAAGTCCCATTAAATGTTTCATGGAGCAGCTGATAAACTCAGTAACCCTCTAACTTGTCTCTGTTTGACATGGACTCCTCTCCCTGCTCTGAGCTGAACTGTGGCATGTTTAAAGCTGCGACCCTGCGAGTATTATCTTTGAAAACATCCTGATTAAAATGATTCCTCGTGGTAAGATACCATAGCAGGAATAATTATGTTGTAAGTCAAAATATATTTGTTTCCTATCTCTGTGCTGTACAAGTATCAGAGGGGTTGGACGGACAGAGGGAAGAGGAAAAGATGAAAAATAAGAAGTAAATTAAAACCAGAGCTCAGGGTCTATCAGCTTACAGGCTCTGTAATTCTGCCTGGATTTAAGTTTAGAAAAATTACATGAGAGGTATAATACAGAGGGAAATATGACAGACAGCAGCACACACTGTTCGTCCAGCGCTGCACAGATCTCTGCATATCATAATAATCTTTAATACAAAATAATCTTTCAATAAATCCTTAATCCGGGTGTCAAATCTCAGATCTTAGGAAGATACTTTTTTTTTAGTACTCCAGATGTAGTTACATCTTTTAATCTTTCCCCTGATATGACGTATTAAGAAGAGGATCAGATACTTTACAAAAAAATCATATCTGGAGAGGGGATCAGGGAAAACAGATCCAGTGTGTTGTATTGGAATTGTTTTGAGAGGAGATACATGGTGTTATTGCTCAGAGGATGATAAGTCTTTTACCACGGCCAGTGTATCCCCGGGTAACATTAATCGTTTGTTTTTTATCTGTTGGTTGACTCGATAATTCACTTCAATCAGATACAGTAAGCACAGATCAGAAGACAATTATTTACACATCTGTCAGCTGCAGACGGACGATCAAATCTTTGGAGGAAAATATTATTAACTGATGCTGCAGCTGGTGGGTTATTCACAAGAGTCAAAACAGGTTCAGATACAAGGCGAAAATAAAACCAGCAAAACAATTTCACTCAAGGTCATTCTTTCTCCAGGGCTTTAAATGTTACGGCTTTCACCTGAGAATGACTTACACCAATACAATCTATTAAGATAAGATTTACTGAGGAAATAAATCCACTAAGAAGAAGAGTGTTTTTACCCTCTGGTTTCACACAGACTATAAAACATGGACGTAGTTTCAGTGACATCACTCATTGGTTTGTTAAGTGGTTTTGTTAAGCAATACACTACACTAATATTTATATCGTTATCAGAGTATTAACAATATTTTCTGATAAGGACATTTTGTTAACAGGACATGTATTGCAGAAATAAATAATCAGTATATCACATCATCAAACAAGGCACAATCAGAATTAGGGATGTTTCTAGGTGAAATATGAGTTGATGAAACACAAATTCAGACCAATCGACTAGTCTAAAGGTAAGAAAACAATCAGAAAACAGTCACAATTTATTTAAAACTGTCCACAGGTAAACAATGTCACATTGTGGCTAATGTTAGCACTGCTCCATCGTAGAAGCCACAGTCTGAAAAAGTGAAATATTTCACAGAAACCATGCAGACCATAAACTTGAAAATGCTGAATCTATTAAAAAATCAAGAGAGAAGTAGGGTAAATTTCTCTTTAAGCTTTTTTAGCAGTCAAGCTCCCCCTTCTGGTCATTAGAAAGATTGCAGGTTTTAGGCACCTCCAGATCAGAGTCACTTTTGGTCCTAGAGGTCTCGTCCACTGTTAATAGAGTTAATGCTAGTTCACTACCAAAGTAAGAGACGCATTAAAACTCTAACTGGATGAAAAATGGAAAGTGGAGGTATCACCAGAGTTTAACTTTAATGCTAACCTCACAATTATTTAAATCGCACCTTTAATGGATCTTCTTTTTAAACATTGCTGTACATATATAAACAACACAACTTCAGAAGGTCAACACTTTTTTATTTTTTATATTCAGGTCTAATTACAGATTTTTTTCCTGAACTGTTTATAGGTTCTTGTTTAAATTTCACATATATTTTTATCCCTGCACGGGTTATGTACATTTCTTGTATAAGTCTTTTTTAATTGCACAGTTTAAGTTTGTTTCATCTAGGGGTATTCTTTAAATCTTTTTTTTCAGGTTAATATATATGTATGAGGGGGGGCGTCTGTTTTGTGGTTAACTTGTAACAAATGTTTCATGTCATGTACGTCTTTGTAACCTGCTACTGGATGCTTTGAATTTCCCTCTGGATCAATAAAGTATCTATCTATCTGGAGTTATTATAGCGTGTTTCCTCGGGGGCGATGAGCTTGTGTACCATATTCCATGTCAAGCAGTCAAAACACTTGTCACATCACAAACTGAAATCAGTGACTGGAAATGAAATAATGTTTGAATAGGATCAGGCTTATGTAGTTTAGAGCCAGAGGGTCATCACAACAGTTTAAAACTCTGAGTAAAATGCAGATGAGGAAAATGTTCTTTATGGGAGACGGTAGTTAACAAAAGCTGAAGGACAGTCAACTTTGAGAATTTGTACCAGTCCGTGCAGATGATTTTATTGAAAGCAAAAAAATATGATTTCACCTGAGAACAGAAAGGAAGGAGTCAAATGTCAACAGGTAACAACATTTAAAATACAGGACAAAGTTGAAAAACATAAAACAGAATAAATTATAAATGTCTCATATTTTGTGTCTGGCAGGTGGAATGTAGTCAAAGCCCCTTTAAGGAGATTTTTAATGAAACAGACCAACATGAATACTGATGCCTCTTTATGAGCTACCAAAGCAAACGAGACCAGAGAGTCAATGTCAGACAACAAAGAAACTAACAGCACACAGCAGAAACAGACTTTTTTACAATTTCCACAGCGAAGATTCCTGATGAGTGATATGTTTCACTGTAAAAATAATTTACACATGAACAGGGTAAAAAGAGACATAAGAGGTACCGCTTAACCACAGGGGGCGCCAACATCGACACAAACTGAACGTCCCTCACAGGAGCTTTAAAAGAAAAGAGTACAACCTACATTTAACGCCTATTTTCTGACCTTTAACCTGCCCCCCATCCTTTTTGTGCTCTTCTCTGTATCTTCATTTTGTACATTCTCAGAAACTTAAATCATCTTCAAAAATTCCACTTATGCTCCTGTCATAATGGGGGGGAAAGTCCACTTTTTTTTTACCGCAGAGTGAGATGTCTGTTCTGAATCAGAAGGCTTTGTGAGGCTGAGAAAAGTTCTTCAAACATTACAGATGAATGTGTTCCCTTTGTTTGTTTCTGCACAGCTGCTAAGGCTCCCCCAGTTCTCCCTCCATGGTCCGGACCAGCACGTACAGCTCAGCCAGCCCGACTACAGAAGCAGCAATCACCGCTGCTATTACTCTCTGCAAAAAAGGGGCATCAAAAACAATGACATGAAAGGTGAGTTAACAACCAGAGCAGAGATCAGTATGTATGTAGTATGTATGTAATCCAGCACGGAAAACTAGAGCCTCATCAATATTCTCATATGGACAATGTTATCACCTGAAATGGGCCTACACTCATAGATCATTATCAGTGTTTTACCATTACATGCTGATGAGGACATTTTGTTAACAGGAAACAATGCATTTGTTTATGAAGTTTCTAAAATCCACTTTATTAGCCAACACATCAGTACTCAGGACATTATTTTCATTTAATGTGGGTATCAGTCTCATCACTCTTATACTTGATCTCTTACCGCTGCTGTGTCAGTGAACAGGTACTGACTCCCCATGTAGGAACAGGCGAACGCAGCGACCACTGTGACCAGGAAGTTAAATACTGTCAACACCACGGCTTTGGCTGAGCGCACTGGACGAAGACAATGAAAAACAGTTTACATTTTTATTTTATTTTTGACTTTACTACTATTTTTGTTGTATAGGGACATGTCTGTGAAGGCTCTCAGGCATCCACAAATATTTTTTTTTATCCAAAGGAAAACTGGGAGATGTTTCGCATATCATCTATAACTCTTCTCTCTGAAGTAGGGAAGTGAAAGTTTAGTTGAGTAAATGTCACCACCCTCGCTAGTCGGCACCAGAATTACAAGTCAGTGTAACAAATGATTGATATTATCATAGCTTCTGTTTCCTGACACACTGAATTTGTTATACGATATTTAACAGTGCATGTGTTTATCACACTCACCTTGCAGTCCAATATCTGCTAATGTTCCACTGCGACTGAGTTCCTGAAAACAAAAGGAGGATATAAGAAATAGTAAAACATGTGCAATCATTACTGGGCTTTGTTATCTTAACTTCACCACCACAAAATCTGGATTTTACTCTGCAGTTTTCAGAATTACAGGGGCTGCAGTTTAAAAAAACAATCAGACAATGTAAACTTCAACAGCTCAGTTGAGAACAAAATTTCTTCATTTAAATATAGATACATATTCTACCTTGTGTGACCAATTGTTGGATCATGAAACATTAAAGATGGTTTGAAGATTCAAAATAAACAGAAATGTACCTGAGCGTTGACGTTTCTTGTGATTCTGTTGTATTCCTCGTTGGCTAGTTTGGCTTTTATCTTCTCAAGACGAGCGACCAGCACGGGGTTCTGCAGAAGAACGAAAAGAAACAGTTTCATTTAAAACGTTTACAGTAATAGAGCTGCAACCACTGATTCTGTGTAATCCCTTAATCTAATGATCATTTTACTATAATAAATAAGTTAATAAAATGTCAGAAAGTTGTAAAGAAAAATGTTTATTACAAATTCCTGAACTCAAAGTGACAGTTTGATATTGTTTCCTTGTCTTTCCATTTACAGAATGAAGAAAAATGTCATAAATGAAGCTGGCACCAGAAAGTGTTCTTCATTTGTGTCAGAGAAATTCATTGAAAAAGCAGTTCTTCTTCACACATGCACAACTGTTACAGATATAGACTGACACATTTAACAAACACATTCACACTCACTCTGGGAGGCTTCACCACCTCAGGCAGGTCGAGGGAGCCGTCTTCCAGAAGCTCATGCAGGTAGAAAGGGTGTCCTGGAGAAAAACAGTCAAAACAAGGTGCTAAAAATTATATCAGCAGTGTATATGGAAACCATCACTTCTAGTTTTAATATCACAGAAGAACTCTTGTTGCCATTTCATTACAATAGATTCTGTTTTTGAAATAATATGATAGATTTTTTTTACATTTGGGAAATATATAAATAATTTTCCCATAAGGAAAAGTCCATTAACATTGCTTTTCTTAAACTAACTCAATGGTCAGTATTTTGGACGTCATTTTGTTTTTCTAGCAGTTTCTTCTGTGCGATGCTGTCTTTGTTTCTGAGGTACAAATGTCAAACTTTTCAAAATTATTCAAAATACCCAATTGCCAAAGCTAGCAACGTTGCTGCTCATGCGACTTTTCAAAGTGATCTTCGGAATATTGCTTTTGGTAAAAGTAAACATTTGGTATCGGCCCGCTCTCTATCATCTCACAGTTCTTATTGATATCATCTCCTTTCTCCTCTGGTTAAATTTCCTTAGTCTGATTAAATCCTGTCAGGGTTTATATTAGTGTGGAACATTTAACCTAGCTGGTCAGGCATAAAACAGGCCAGTGTCTAAAATGACTTTTTTCATCACAAAATCAAAGTTCCTTGTCAGAGTGTAACCTTTTTATTTAAAAGAGCCTGTATAATAATTGATCATAAATCTTTTTCCTTTATTGATAAGCTCACATATAACTGCTCTGTCCCTTTTATTAGTGATGACGAGTCCTTTTTGCAATGCCATTTTATGTCACATCTCATGTAACACTCTTAATAGTTACAGTATTTTGTATCCCTCTGCTCCGCCCACTTTAGCAGCCTCACACCAATAAAATCTGTTGTTAAATGTCAATCAAGATCAGTCATTGTGATTGGCAGTCAGTTTTAAAGCGATATGATGCTGCAACCTTATCAGGGCTATTTTACCCATTTTATATGTATAAGTATGGCCCATTTAAGTTGGCAGATAAATAGATATTTAGCTAAATGGCTAAAGAGATAGATAGATATTATAGAGTTACGTTAACATTAAAATAATGTACCTTTATCCTGGAGGTATTTCTTGAGCTGTCTTGCTGTACTGAAGGACAGAGTTGTTGGTTCTGATTTTTTCAGTGTCTCCTCCAGATCTTCTCTCAGTCCTTTGGGAAGAGCTGAGTGTGTGTCTTCTAGTAATCCTCTTACTTTATTTATAAATGTATTCCCGACGACAAATGCAGAAGCCATGACGAGGAAACCCGAATTGATCGAGTTATACACACCTGTTTTGGAGCTTGTTCTCAGTGTAGAACAACTGTACAGTGTACATAAACTACATAGAAAAGGAGTCAAAGATATGTTTAGCTATTTCATACACTAAAGTCTACGTTAGACGGCTTATAAGAAATATATGTGTACCAACAAGAAGGCAGCCATGTTGCTTGTCTTGTGACGCGATGACGTCACGCGCATGACCATCTGTGTGAAATTGTATTTTTAATCGTACATTTAAAATTAAATATAAATTCATGAAAATTATTTTCAAACTTTGAATGTTGATAATAAGTGAATAATACAATTTTCCAATACAAATTTAAGTCATTATTGCTTTGTAACGTTACATTACATGTGAGTCTTTATGGTGCCTTCATGGGCCCACCAAGGCTCGTAAAGCCGGCAGTTATATATTTAAACAGACTGGACCAGTGATATAGCAGCTTTTCCTTTTAAAATTATTTTGGAAAATAAATTCTAAACTTTTCTTTACTATCAATGTAACAGAAGGATATTGCCAGGTAATAGTATTATTACTATTATTATTCTTACTGTAATCTGTTCTGGACATGTTTAGATTTACAAATTATCCCTGCACTCATGTTCACTTCATATGTCTGTCTACTCGCCGTTTTTATTGAATATTTTCTGCTGATAACAGGCTACACTCATGCACTTTAACTTATAGTATAAGGGACATAGGGAGATTGCACATCTCCACATGTCAATACTGTCCATTTACAACTCTGTTTTTGCACATTTACATTTAATATTTAATATTTTAGACTAGTAATGCTAAGTTAAATCCTGGTTGTATATATTCACATTCTTAGTTTTGATATTTTTTATTTTTAGTGCTTATTTACTTTGTATTTAATATTATATTGTGTTTAGATTTGCTAATATTGTGTTTTTTTTTACTAATATTGTGTGTGTGGATAACCTGCTGCTGTAACACCACAATTTCCCAGTTTGGGATCAATAAAGTAATTCTATTCTATTCTATTGTCAAAGCAAGCTGAAAACCTCTTGTTCGAATTAAAGTTTGCTGTTACCATTAATAACATTGTAAAAAATGTGTTAAAGAGCTAATACACCAGAGTTGTCTTTTGTTAAGCTTTCAGTTATTGTAAATACGACTCTTCTTTCCGTCCCTGAAGGTATCACAAACACCCCTCTGTAAATGCGTGTGAGAGAGCGTGTCAGGTCTGTAAAGATGGCGGCCTGTGCTTTACGCAGAGGCTTGCTGAGCACTGTCAGTAAATACAACAAGAAACACGCACACAGGATACTGAGCGCGGTTGACAGCAGCAGCGGGTTTGAGGTGTACAGACCGAGGGTACAATGCCGAGCCTGCGGACTGTCCGGTGGTGTCCAGCAGAGGAGGTTTATGTCGTCACGGTAAGAGACGCAGCCAGTGTCCTCCTCTGTCAATGCTAACATGAGCTAACATGCTAACAAGACTTTAGCTCAGGAAAGAGCTCTTCAAGATGGCCCCTTAAAGACACTGACTAACTTCATGTTGAGTGGAGACATTTGTCCAGCTATTGGCAATATTATGATCGTTGTGTGCAATAATTTAACAGTATTTAATCAGGAAAGTACAGTTGTCCTCTGTTGTTCATTAGCTTGCAGGGTAACTAGCCAACATGGATTGAGCAACACCTGACCATCTGATCTGACTGAGTCAATCCAGGTTCAACTATAACACTGTTAGAAAAGCTTTGTTTATAAGTAGCATGATTATGATACAACAGGACTGAAGCAATAACATAAAGTTTATCTAACAGGCTTTAAATGAATGCTTCCCTTTGTCCTTACTTTACTTTAGTATTACTAATGTTGATGTTGATAATTATTATTATGTATTGTTTACAAAGCACTTAAAGGCTACTATTTTACATTTAAAAAAAAAAAATAAACATAATAGATCAATGGGAAAACAGACAGTTTATAATATTTAGTTAATTAACAAACTATACATTTTGAAAGAAATGTGCTGGAGGAGCCAAATAAAGCCAGAGGGGCTCGTCGAGTGGCCCTCCTAAAGAGAAACATGTAACACAGAGACATATTATTAATGTAGTCCAAGCAAAAACAATAACGCTAACAAGAACACATACTCAAGAAGGTGTAAAAGAAAGCTAAACAAGAAAGAGACAAATTGTAAACAATTAATGTTTGTACCTCCTGCAGATAACCAGAGAGGCACAACAATGAGTAAGCATGAAGTTGACTGTCCCCTGTGTTCATTTATGCAGAAAAATTACCAAGTGGCTTTTCTTTGTAAATGATGTGGTTTTATACATTAACGTTTTTCATGAGATTTATTTTGGTGTTGGGTTCCCTGATCAACACATTGAAAACATTTCCTGCCTCACAGAAACCATTACAAAGTGTTGTGTCTTTGTTTACATCTATTTTGACGTTATGTGACATAATTAATGTCCAGTCCAGCGTATAGTGAGCTGCTGTTTAGAACAAGTGATGCATTTATTTTTATTTCTGCCCAATGATTGACAATCTGTGATTTTGTCATTCATTGCTTTAACCTTTGGGCTGGCTCTTGCAAGCTTTCTGCAGTTTTTAAACATCTGTGGAGATGGCTATAGCACTATACTTTGTGCAAAAGCAAGCGGCTACTGCTGCTTTGTATTACTTTTATATGTCTTTTTTGCAATGACAACTCTTTAGGTGATAAGATTCAGTGTGTTAAAACTTTACCACTTTATTTCTCCCCTCTGAATTCTTGTAGCACATGTTTTGCGATCGTGTTATTCTGCTCTCAAACCGTGCACGTCACTCAGGCTTCATCCAATACAGTTTATGGTGCAGACTGTCTGTCTGCTTGCACACCATTACTTAGCTTTTTCTTTTTTTTGGTTCACTCAACCTGGTGGTGATCACAGCTTACAGACTTAGTGCTAATATAAGTAACGGGGGGGGGGGGGGTAGTTAGGTCGACTTTGCACACAACTGATCACTGTCGAGTCATTTAGACTAATTTGTTGAAAAAAAAGTGTTGATTAAATGTACATGTCTTTATCCTAATGAGGGTTGTGATGTTTCAGCAGTAATATAGCTACACTCTTCAAATATTTTGGCTGCATAGCAGCAGCAACTTGTGATTCTAGGAATGGGACTTGTCTTAGGTCTTAAAGATCTCATATTCTGTCCTTTTTGGGGTTCATATATTTAATCTATGTACCTACTTTTGTACGTTCACAATAGATAAAGTTCTAAAAAAGTGTCTGTTTTCATGTACTGCTCCTCCTTGCTCCCTCTACGCTCTGAGTCCGTCAGCTACACTCTGTTGAGCCCACACTGTTAGACCTCACGTGGGCCAAGTCTGCTCTGATTGGTCTGCCGATCCACTCTGTCGTTATTGGTCAGTTGCTCAGCACGGTTCTCTCTTTTACCATGTTGGGAATGCAGCCACTGGCTCCGTCTGAGGGGAGCATAAACATTAGCACCTTAGCACTACTGTGCTACTGCAGGCTACGGCATATCGTGGGCGTGCTACAGAAGTTAATGGGCGTGCAGCATGAGCTGCAGGGCTTGCCACAACGGGCCAATGGGCTTAGATCAGTGATCTCACACTGACAAAGACGTCACACTGACAAATTTTATCAAGGGGTGCTAGAACCGAGCGTTACATGCAGCTAATGCTACAGCTAACAGGAGGACGTAGGAGAAGCCGTGTTTCCGTGGACTTTGAATTTTTGCACATAGATGTGACTAAACATGCACAGGACACTTGGAAAACACACTAAAGAGCATATAAAACCAGAAAAAGCATAATATGGGACCTTTAATTTGAAGCTACTGTGAGGACCTTAGAGCTTTTGTTGATCTTGTGAACAAAGTGGTGGATCTTACCTCTTTGCTGATCCTGTTCTGTACATGTGTCAGTTGAGTTTTCTAAAAAGAATACTGTCTTCCTGTGGTCTTGTCAAACCTCATCACCATTTTTATGCCTTTATTTTAGAGATAGTGGGTAGAGTCAAAAACCAGGAAGAGAGTGGCGAATGACATGCGGGTAAGGAGCCACTGGTGGGATTCGAACCCCAGGCCGTACGCCTTTTGAGGACTTAAGCCTCTGTAGACTAATTTTTAGTCTACAGAGGCTAGTTTTAAGTTAAGAAAGCACTGGGAATAGTCAAAATTGAGCAAAATGTATTTAAAATTGTCTGCTTCGAAATGATGTCAGATTGGTTTGCATAGAGTGGATAACATTATCAGTATTGCACCGCCAGCCTGGGTCCTTCCTTCAGGTTAACGTTCCCAGCCCTGTGCTAAACGTGATCAGGGATGCTCCGGTCAGTATGCCAGTTTAACCTGACACAACCTACATTAGTTTTATCTCGATTTTAAAGATAAAAAAAAAAACTGCCAAACCGCTCTGTTCCTATGAGATGGTATTCGTACACTGAGCTTGTTTACATCCAGGTAGTAGAGTGAAGGGAGCAGGCGTTTGAAACAGAGCACCAGCAGCACTGGCTAGTGGTTGTGTTGCAGTTTAGGCATAACATATGACCGGCAAATAGGGCTTGCATGTAAATATTAAAAAAGTATTTAACAGACTAGTAATTCTGGTGCCGACTAATGAGGGTGATGGTGTTTTACTGTTTTCTTGACTTAACACATCATATCAACATCACACGAAGACAGGAACCAAATGAACAGCACAATAACGTGGAGAGGCAAAGTACAGGGAAAAATGTTGTTTGCATTGTTGTTGTTGGCATTGTGGACAGAGCAAAACCACAGCTCTGACAGAACATGGCATATCGATGCTGTTCTGTGGTCATTAAGTTCATTTTAAAATCTGCCGTACTTTCAATAGCCCCCCTGACCCTGTCATCACCGCCACAACTCTGTGGAAACACTGTACTGTGAATCTGTTTCATGGAAAAGGTCAACAAAGGCTGATTTGGCAGTGATTAAAGGCAAAAATCTATTTAGAGATGATCAATCTTCTAGCTGATGGTCTCATCCTCTTTTGTAAGTCAAAGAGAGACTACCGTCTTATTTTCAATTTGTTTCTTTACCAGATAAAAATTACTTACAGAAGCTTTAATTAACCATAAATAAAGTTACAGTAAGAAATAAAATCTGATTCTAAATACAAAGAAATCAGCAGAGTGTGCTTGTGAAATATATCCTCTGAAAGGGAAGTAATGGTGGGTGTTC